CATTGCACATTTAAAGTAGGTGCAATCTACTAAGAAAATATTTGATTTTGTTATTAGACAGGAGATAATAAGGCGATGAATCTATGGATAAGTTAGTCAAGGAAACGCCCTAAAGATAATTTTTTATTCAGAGATGTTAAAAATTGGATCTCATGCTCTAACTTAAAAGTAGCAAAACTTGTTGATGGATTTGTCGATGGTTAGCATCCTTAAGTCCACTTCTAGATGTTAATGTGCATGTCAATCAGATCAGACAAAATAAAGTAAGGTTCTACATGTAGACACTTCTTTTCTCTGAGTTGGAATCATAAATACATCAATGATTCTTAGGGCTTTTCACTAACAAAACCCCATGTCTTGTGCTTCAGTTATTCAGTTCTTTTTTATTTCTTCTGCCTAAGAATTTTCAAAAAGCATCCCCATTTTTTTAAACAGATAGATACGAAAGACATTCTTTTCATCTGTGGTGGCGCGTTCATTGATTTGGAGAAGACTATTTCTGAGAGGTAATTTTTATTTTCCAAATTGCTTTTTCTAATTGCATCAGGAACTATGATTTTTGTGAATTATGATGGTTTACAAAGGTCTTATTACCAGACGACAGGATTCTTCAATCGGTTTTGGCGCTCCAGTTCGTGCTAACATGAGAACTGGAGGAATAACAAATGCAACTGTAACATCAACCTTACTAGAATCTGTAAGAAGGCTGGTCTAATTTTAATTTCTATTTTTTGTATATGCCTCAGACTTTGAGTTGTGTTATAGAATTTACTAGTCAGCCGCTGTTGCTGAAAAATATCATTTCACGTTTGCAGGCAGAAAGTAGTGATTTTATTACATACGGCCTCATACCAGAGTTTATTGGGCGTTTTCCTATTTTAGTTAGTTTATCTGCGCTGACGGAGGACCAGCTTGTTCAGGTATTTTTATTCTCTGTGTTGCCGTCATTTTTTATTTTTCTGGGTGTTTTCCTATTTTAGTTAGTTTATCTGCGCCGACTGAGGACCAGCTTGTTCAGGTATTTTTGTTCTCTGTTATTTTTCTACGTAATGATGGACTGCATTGTTTATGGAAACAAGCTGCAACTCATTCAGAATTGGAGGTTGTATCTCATTCTGATGGTTGTGCAATTGGTTCTTCATAAGCTTAGTGTACCTACTGGAGCAATTGTATTTTTCTTTTATCAGAAGTATTTTATCTGGAATAGCTCTTCTATGATTTAAGCAGAACAAATATTGATAAAGTCCAGTTGGCTCTCTTCTCATCGGTTATCATGAAAGACCCGAAATTTATGAACGTTGAGACTGATTGGTTATTACTCAATGTATCTTAGTATATGCATTGATCAAATTTGTTACAAGATGTTACAATACAACTACTAGTGTTAGAAATTTACAAGTGTTCAAGTTCTTTACTTAGATGTTTTGTACATCGAATAAATATCAAATATGTGTACCGGTTGATACCTATAATTTATAAATAGGTTTTTCTTCTATCCATAAATTACCAAGTCATCAATGTGTATGGTCTTCTCTTTTTTTCTCACAGTGACCAGATTTGTGTTCTTAAGTTCGATTCCTTCTATAAATTTACTATTCGTGTATATTTTCAGTAGCCAGTTGCACCCACTCAAATGCCAGTTTCACAGTGAACATATTTTGTATTCATCAAATTGTCAAGTCTTAAGCACATGACTTCTCTTTTTAATTCTCACACAATTAGAAAATTTACATGTAGGTGTATTTTTAGTTCTAATTTATACACCGCTTTGAATGATATTAACAAGGCTGAGACCTAATTTGTTATTGATTAGTCCCTGCCTGATTCTTTCTTTTTTTACTTTTGGTCTACAACTACCTGCTTTTCCAGATTATCGAGTTGGTTAATTTCATGTTTCTACTTTCTACAGGTCCTTACTGAACCAAAAAATGCTCTTTGCAAGCAATATAAAAAACTATTTAGCATGAACAATGTAAGTATAAACTATGATAACTTTACAACCCCCAAAAAGAAAAAGATTCAATAATGAATATAAACATCCTCAAAGCCAGAATCGGAAGTTAATTTTTTTTTTACTTAATTGATTTGGACTTTCATATGCTTGTTTAGACTAAGCTACATTTTACGGAGGGAGCCTTACGTTTGATTGCCAAGAAAGCAATGGTCAAAAATACTGGTGCTAGGGGATTGAGAGCCTTACTTGAAAGCATCTTAACTGATGCTATGTATGAGGTAAACTATGTCCAAATCTGTAAGGTCACGAGCAAGTGTTTTTCATATTTGATTCAATTGATTGAATGTGCAGATTCCTGATGTCAAATCTGGAGATGATAGAATAGATGCTATTGTGGTGGATGAAGAGTCGGTAGGTGCAGTAAACGCACGTGGATGTGGTGGGAAAGTACTTCGGGGAGATGGTGCTCTGCAACGGTATCTTGATCAAGCAGACTTAGTAGATCAAAGAGTACGATCCGAACTTTCACTTGTTTAGTCTATTCTCTCTATAGCCCTTCTCTTGTCAAGATAATTATGCTTAGCCACATACATGCACACTGTTTTGACATCTGAAAATATCTGATTGCCAGGAAAATGATGGTGCAGCCGAAACTGAGCTGCAGGAGGGTGAGTCTGAAGTCTCGTCGAGAGCAATAAGCATGTAAGATTATTAGAACCAGAGTCTTAGGATTTCATACATGGTTAAAATTCCATTTGTTGTAAAATGTAAATTCATAAAACAGGGTGTTGATCCTCTTGTAAAACAACATAGCAATCTGCTTCCAGGAAAGTCATAGAAAATAGAATACGGTATACGAGGAAAATGTAACCATTCTAATTTATAGGCAGCAGGCAGCAAGCTGTGGTGTACTGATTCTTTTGGTAATGAGAAAACTTTGATTCTTCATATTTCAGAAGTGCTATCTTTCTCACAATATTTTCAATGTTGTTATAAGATGTCAAACGTAATATTAGAGAGTTGTCCATGAAACTTCACTGTGTTATCACAAGTGAATTCTGAGGGTAAAATATATGCAAATTTTATCGCTTTTCTCAAAGGATAAAAAAGCTTTTTCAATTAACCTTTCACTAAAAAAATATATATTTTATAAAACAAGTTTAAAAGGAAAAAATATGTTAAAAAAGATTAAAGAGTGTTTTCCCTTGTATCCAATGCTTGATTGATCATATAGGTGGGGATTGTATGAACTTTTGTAACATTTAATCAAAGCTTATAATAATAACAGTTTATTTGTCAAAATTAGAAATTGAACACTAAAACAGAATTTACATAAACTAACTATAAGAAACATCAACAAAAAGGATTAAGAAGTAGAGCACAAAAACTGCTGATATTGTTTCAGAGCAGCATATCTTGTAATTTGTAAATGCGCGTTAGACTGCCAAGATTTTTTGGTCCAACAATAATGTTCGAACATTTTTGGCATCACAAATTCTTGAATTTGAAAAAAAGGCGCAGTTTGCCCCAACAGAGCATTCGCTTCACCAGCAGCAGCCTCTTGAGTAATCTGCACCTGATGTTGATTAGATTCTACTATTGCTTGTTTAGAAAAATTGATCAGCTTATTCTCCGGATTCATTTTCAACGACATTGATAGGATGATTGATCATCCCATAGTCCTCATTCCTCATTTGCGTTAGTTCAGGATCAACATTATATTCTATTGATAGAGCATAGATCTTCTCTTCATCTGACGAAGACTCTTGAATTTGCAACACCGGTTCAACAATATTGATAGGAGTTGATTGCCTGATTCATCCGTAGCTCAACAGAATTTACCTCTGTATCCAACTTGTGTTCATCCACATCAGTTGTACTCGCGGATTAACAAAAATTTTCGTTTTTAGAGCACAAATACAATAATATTAGAGTTTTTGAACTTTTTAAGAATAGCTTCGCAAAAAACATATATCTATAATGCGTTTATCTGCTTAACTTCGTCCTCTAACAATATAAATTATATACTATATAGTATCTTATCAAGCATATGATTGAATTTTGATATATATTTCATCCTTGCGAGTAGAGCATTTTTCAAAAACTATTTTTATACCCGCACGAGATCGCAATAAGTTATTGTTATTATTTAACCATAAAAGAATAATTTGTTTTGCTGTATCAAATTGGTTTGTAATGATAAATTTAGTTGAGTGATTTTATTGATACAATGATTTAAATTGAGTGATTTTATTAATACATAACAAAGTTTAATGACTTCATAAATTTTCAAAGCGTAAACATTATTTATACAATATGTGATATTTGTACATGTACAACTATAGATAGAAGAGAATGGAGTTTGTTGGACACAAGAGATCTAAAGAGAAGAGGAACTAACTATGTATAACTCGAACATACTAATGTACTCAAACATACTAATGTACTAGAACTCTACAATCTTACCCTTAGCAAAAAGACCACGAGACAATATAATAGATAGTTTACTGTTGTAGAGCGCTCTCGAGCGCTATCGAAGTTTACTTGCAATTAAACTGTAACTACTAAGGACCTGAAGTAAATGGAATGTCAAATCTCTCAGGCGGCTATCAAGTTTATTGGTACATCAATAAAAACAAAAACTTCTCACTCAGTCTCTTGATTGGATACGAAATATTAAAAAATATGAAAATATTTTGTAATATTTCAAACCTATTCTTAAAAATAGTATAATATCTTTATAGACTTTTTGTCAAATAAGAGAATCTATAATATGTAAAATACTATAAAATTTTAATGGCATCATATATGTAAAATACAGAAATATGTCTTTTTTAGATTGATTAAAAAAAATTATGTATAAATCGAGAGATCAGTACTAAAACTTTTTAATATTTTTTAATTCAAATTATGATTTGATTTGATTTTCAACTATAAAGACGAACAGCATACTTCCAAATGGGTTATAAACTATTAAGGTGACACTATTTAGTTCCAAAATGAAAAGCTTGGATCAGAAATTAAAACCACTATGCTAAAAGTCATTCTAGATATTGTCAAATCTGTCACCTCTTATGAGAGACTTGTTTTCACTTGCTTTTGGCCTGTGTTCATTGGGCTTCTGCTCTTCTGTTGTTTTCCTGTACATTTTTTTTAAAAAAAGGTTCGAATTATATCTGAAACTGAATCAAAATTTCAGTCTTACACAAATACTTAGATAGAGTAGAGCTAATCGAGAAACTAATATATAAAATCTATTTAAAGCCTCCAACCTAAAAGGAAACGAACAAAAGGAAATCTAACAAACGGTAGCAGACTATTAAACTTTTTACGTGTTAGTTTAGGCTATGAATTTGAGAATGTAACCCTAATAAGTGCATAAATTTATAATACCGATGAATTTAGGGTTAGCGAGATGTATCTCTTCTCAGATGCACCTCCCTTCTGGCTCAGTAACGATTGGAGAAGCGGTGAATTCACCTCGTAAATCATCCTCCTTTGATCGCCAACAAACAAAACCCTAATTTTCACTTTCAACTTCTCTTTCCTAATTTCCTACTATTTATATTATATGGCAATTGGTAATGAGCCCGCCAGTTGATACTTATGGGCTAAGTTGATTCGGAATGAGTTTGTCTGTTACACTTAAATAACAAATAATTCTTTCACAGGGATAATAACCGTTACACTTAAGACACAATAAACATTTGCCTTTTCCTTCTCCTAAAGACTTTCACCCACTATTTTCCTTGTTCTTTATTCTTAACACCCCCACATACTATCCTAC